TTGAGCTTACGGTCCACTGCAACTCGCAGGTCCTTCTCTGCAGTACTGCAGCCCAGTTGCTCATTTCCCAGTCTGTATTTGTCCATTCAATTATTCTGTCCCAAGTGCAGGACCTTTCATTTGTCTTTGTTGAATCTCACCTGATTGATTCACAGATACCTCTGTGATCTTCCACCCCAAAAGTATGGCCCTCTATCTCTTGAGCCAAAAGACAATTCCTGTAGTGATGGACCCCTATTCCTGTCTCTGTGGATTAGGCCACTCCTGGGTAATATTATCCATTAATACACAAAGCCAATACATTACAGAGGATAAGAGGAGAATTCAGTCCCTGCAAGCCACATTGACACACAGGGTCTTTGATGAAATTACTAACCCTGGGAAGGAGGGAAGGGAGAGGGAATTTATGCCAGTTGGCAATTTTGGTAATACAAACACTGAGCACTAGTACTGTACCCAGACTTAGTCCATCTATTTGTTTCCTATCCAGCTGCCAAACGAACATTCAGAGAGCCAACACAAGAAGGGACAGTGCTGTGGTACATTCAACAGTGCAGCAACTGTATTTTTCCTGGAGATACATAAGACCATGTGGCAACAGTCAGGTGTTTTAAAGTTTTAGCAGCTGCAGAATGGGGCATATACCTCAGTCTCCATGGTCTCTAACCTGTCATTTATTTGCATAGATACCAATCATTTGAAAGCACCAGGCATCAGTTGCGTCAGTGTAGTGTATCGCTCACTGGACTCCCCAGAAATACAATTCCCTAGGACGATGTGCATCTCAGGACTCATATAATCTCCCTCCTCATAATTAAACTGATGTTTTGGCAATGCCCAACTGTGCATTTTTAAGTTTTAAAGGTAATGATGGAGCTGTCCTCCTCTCAGAAGCTAAACTTGTGTGGTAGGACCCTGCAGTTTCTCCTGTAGATACTCTAACTGCCCAGATTGCCCACTCTGTTGCTTTTGTTATCAAAATTCTGATTAGGCAGTTTCTCCCGGTGTCTTTGGGGTTAGGATTCTAAGCAAGTTAAGCAGGAATTGCTGTGGTTGCATTCCCTGGAGACCAGAGAAAATATAAAATACTCCTTTCCAATAATCTAGCACATCCCCACTGCCATACAATCTGAACAACATTGACCGACTCTGATAAAACAGAAGTCTTCCTGGTGTAGTGTACTATCAACACTGCTAAGTGTAAATGGGATGTTGGTGATGAAATTCCCAAGAGCTGTAGAAGAACCCAGCCCAAGGGATTCCCCACTACTCTTTCTGATGGAGGCAAGCAATTAGTGGCGACAAAGATCAGACTGGGAGAGTCACCTACTTCACTCCATTAGCCATAAGGGCAGCCATTGCTCTTGCAGGAGTCACATTCCCCACCATGAGGCCCAGAGATTGATCAGCCGCTTTCTGAATGAACTCGCTGGAATCCCCTGTCTTCTGGAGCAGGACCCGAGCCATCTCCTCCACCTCCTGGTCCATGTGCTTCTTCATGGTCCTAAAGAGCTCACCAAGGGTGCTGATAGCAAAGCGAGACACCTTTGAGCGGAGATTACTAACCTGTAGGAGGCAAAGTCATGAACAGGACACAAGAGTCATTTTAGGGAAAAAGGGATTGGTTTTGACATCCAGAGGGCCACAGGAAAAGCAGACCCACATACCATTTCAAAGGGAAATCTATGATCTACTGTTCTGAGTCAACAATAGGAAGCACAGATCTACCCCTGGCTCTGACACCAATTCCTTCTGTGGCCTTTGGCAAACCACTAAGAGCCCAATGCAACAGGATTGTTTGTGGGGTAAAGAACACTCAAACAAGTGCAGGCAGTACTGAGCCCTTGACTTCTCTAATTTAGCTTTTGATCTCCCTTCCAAAGTGATTGTCTTAGCCACTGCTGTACTGAAGGTAAGGGAGATGGGTAACACTAATTCATTCTCCATTCTGTGAGTATTGCCAAAGTCCCCTCCTGAAGGAAGCCCAAAAAATAAAATAATTAATAAATAAATAAGTAAATAAACAAACAAACAAACGATTTTAAGAAAGACTGAAATAAATCATTTTGTATGTATCCCCGTTCCCCCCTTTCCTTTAGCCAAAATCAAGTTACTGAATTTGTATGAATTTGGAAAATAAGCTTGGCTGATCCCACACTGCATCTTCTTAAGAATAAATGATTCACCAAAACATTTCGTCTGCCTCTGGTTGTGAAGATTAGTTAAGATACATAAAGACCATTGGAGAATAACTGTACACATGGGCCTGATCCTCCATGATGCTGAGCTCTCCTAATTCCCATTGAATCAGTGGGAGTTCAGCATGGGTTGGAGCTGGGAGGGAACTAAGGACTGGAATGGCTTTGACCCCCCAAAGCATGCAACTATCACCAACCATTTGCAGTGTAGATTTTTTCACTTAATCATCCCCCTGTGCTTGAACTGTAGAAGTTAACCTCCAGTCATGAAGTTTAGAGCACTCAGCACTACTTTGGATTGGGCTTTATTGACAAAACATGGTCCCAAAGACTAGAACAGACAAGCAACTGGAAGCCAAAAGATTGTTTTTGAAAGGTAAGTCAGCATTGTCTTTTAGCAGAAGATGATCCAGTGGTTCTGTCCATCTTAATTCCTTATTTTACTGGTCTTTTTAAAGTATAATACAAAAGACCAGAGAATATAACACCTGGACCATAAAAGCAACATCTGGAACAGGAGTAAAACAAAAGAAACCCATGTCTTGGCAGTTGATCTTCTGGAAGAGAGATAGAGGCACCTTCCTAGATGAATGGAAGAATGAGTCCCCTCAGCTGTAAAGTACAATGTGAACACCTCTACTCTCCCAATCCTGAATATCAAAGTTGGAAGACGTGGTCTGAATCCTGAAGGTCTGAAACTAGATAACTAAAGGCTCTATAGGTCTTAACACCACCACAGTCACTCACACCCTGCCACGGACCCCGGCCCCTGCTCATGCCCCTCACTTCCCCCCACACACACCTGCTGGTGCCCCTCACCCCCCATCCACAGCCCCCCATCCCCCGCAACTGCCAGAGCTATAGGGCCAGGGACCCAGGTCTGTAGCACCCTGCCCCTGACAGGAGCCAGCGGCTGCTGCAGCCTGGACCCACGCCCCCCAGATCTGTGTGTGGGGTGGGGGCAGACATGGCTGTCCACTGTGGGCTTGGGCTCCCACCCTACTGCCCTCCCCTGGGGCCTCCACAGCCTGATGGGTGCAACCCAGCTCTGCAGAGAACAGTGGCGCCATGTGGGCATCTCCTTGCCATTGTGAGCTCTGCGCTGCCCTGGCAATGTGTCCCCTGCCTGTGTGGCAGCACTGAGGGGCACAACCCTGTGCAGCTGCCCCCGCTGCTGCCACGCGGGCAGGGGACACGTTGCCAGGGCAGTACAGAGCTCACAGCATTAAGGCTGCCCCCGCCCTGCACACAGATCTGGGGGGCACAGGTCCCTCCTGCCTCCCTGAGAGTGTGTGCAGTGACAGGGAGCCAGCCCCACTCTCCCCACCCCCAGACAAGCTGCCCATGGCCCCATTCCACACCCCGTCAGGGCCCTGCGGCCACGCATTGCAGCCCTGGGCCCCAAGCCCCAGACACCCCAGCTGGGCAGCAGCCTCAGCCCCAGCCCCACCCAATTGCTCCCTCCCTCCCTATGGGGGCATCAATCCCCACCCCCACTACCTACAGGAGCTGCCCTCCAGGCTGCCAGGCAGCCATGGGCATATACATGCATATGGTGCCCCCTGCCTGCCTGCCTGCCCTCCTCCTGCTCCCTCCCAGCCCCCTGGAACTCTGCCAGCCTGCAAAAGTGCAAAATATGTGGGTTTCTCTGTTGAAGTGAAAAATCCATGTTTTCCTCAAGTAAAGGGGGAAATCCATGTTTTCTCCATTTTTCCGTGGCAAACGAAAAACCTGGATCCCTGAAGGACCCATGAGAAATAGGTACCCATCTTCCATTTCAGCAGCTCAGACATGCAGGGAGGGGGGAGAGAGAGAAAGAGAGAGGGAGTCAGTGTCTCACAAGGCTGAACATAGGCTCCCATCATCCTGACTGACAACAAGCCAGACTAGGATCTGGTAAATCACCTTCAAGAGGCCTCAGTCTCCATGTTTGTAGAATGCATAATGATAATCCCTAAATCAGCTGTTGTCAACCTGCTTAGACTTGAGGCCCACCTCAGAAAAGGCCAGCTCTTAGTTTTCACTCATTTTTTTTGACTGTGAAAAATAAGAGAACAGTTCTTCTGTTGCAAAAAAAACTCAGAAAGACCACAACAGGCCAGAATGTTTTTGACACTATGGATTCCTATTTGAAATCTCTGGGTTTATCTTGTGAATCAGCACTCCACACCTAACAGTGCTAACATTGCACAGCACCTTGCAATAGCCATAAAAGGATCACAAGGCACCCTGGGTGAGAATCATTGCCCTAACTCAGAGATGAGACATGCATGCACCCACTCATGCCACAGAAAGATGTATGCAAGAGGCAGGGATTTCTTGGACTATTCAAGTTTATATTTACAGTAGCGACGACTTAGAAAACTGAGGCCTGAGGGAGAACATCTTGCATTCGAAAGCTTATCTAATTTTATCCCAACTACATAGCTGATCCAATAAAAGATATCACCCTAAGAAATCCTTGCGTCTCTCGATTTCTAAACCATGACAGCTACAACATCATTTTTACACTACATCTGGACATAGATTCACTACATGTAGAGACAGCTATTATATGTATAAGTCTAGATATCAGAAACACAGACAGAGACAGAACTAAAATAGAGAGATAAAAGTGGAGAAAAGGATAAACATGCATATCTACTCTTTACACTGCATGAGGAGGTACAAGGGATAAACATGAAGCACCCATATCTTACCTCTCTGGTAACTGCCAACGAAACATCATGAATTCTACTAAGGAGGACTTCTGAATGGCAGGTAGCCAGACGGCGGATGCCAGAGAGTCCTTTCTCTTTCAGCTGCCTGAACAAAATAGACAAAAAGGAAAATATCATTGGTCCAGCATTGCATTTTGCTAAGCACAGTGCCAAATGCAACCTGGAATTCAGTCTGGAAAATTAAACAGACTCCAAAGCCCAACAATTGAGGCTTGAGAAGCAAATGCACTACATTTTCCAGAAAACTGCCTATTAACAAAATGTTCACTTAAAAAAAAATGACTTTCTAGCCCTTAATAGCTAGTCCATGCGATTCCCCAGGGACGTAGCCTGGAGGAAGGTGTATGATTGATTCACTCGTTCCACATGACAGACTCCAGCCTTGAGAAATCTACAGATTTTCATGGCAGACTATGGATTTTCCATCTCCATTTGGACTCAGGAGACATAATTTGCCTCTCTCCCTTATAACTCCTACTGATGTTGCTAATCTGTTTCCTGACCTCCCTCACTGAGCTAACAGTGCCACCTCTTGATAAGCAACAAGAAACACAGTCTTTGGCCACAATAGCCCCCATCACAGCAGACCTGGGCTAGTCCTGCTCAGATTTGCAATAGTGGAAAGTTAGAGAGGAAACCAGAGGAACAGAGGTGGAAGGGGAAGATATTTAAGTAAAACCATACACCTGTGCTTATACAGCAAGGTACACTATGGTCCAGAATAGCTCTACTGAAGTGAATGGAATCACTTTGGATATACTCTGATGAAACTTGGATCATAATTAGGCCCAGTGTCCTCCAGAGCTCATAGAAATTCTCCACCCCCTGCTCTGTGTCTACATAAATAGCAGGAAGTGGGGGGAAAGTAATTCAGGAGATCCTGGCTCCCTAATAAAATTACTCTTCTCATCCCATGCTCCCAAACCAGGCTGCAAGAAGAACAGTTCTCGAGTTTCAATGCAAGAGGAGAAACAATGTGGAAGTCCCTTCACCCCAAGCAATGCAAGTGATGGCTTGGGCCCTGTGCACAGACATGTAATTTGGAGATACGGGAGGATGCAGTTTCCCAAATGACCACCGCCCTCCGACCACAAAAGAAGGGAAGGAGACCCACTGCTCTTACCCACATATGCAGCAGTGAGACCAGAAGGGAAGGTAACAAAGGACAAAACTCTACCTCCCCCAGCATCTTGAAGCCTTCCACATGCTAGGGCCAAAACCTGCTTCTATCTTTGTGACAACTTAAAGAAGTGTTCACCTCCTTTGACTGGGAATCATGAGAGGGAAGTGATGCCTGAGGGACACTGGCTTCTACATGGAGAATCTTTTGATTGCTCCATGATTTTACCTCTTCTCTGGAACTACCATTTGAGGCTACACAAAGATCCAAAAGAGGATAGCACCAAACAAGGTAAGCTAACCTGCTCTGCACCTACACAGCAGTACAGCTAGGAGTAGGAGACCCAGTTTGGATAATGGCTGGGGAGGTTTTTACTGCCTCATATTGAATGAAGAGGAAATGTATTGTGGAGGCTCTGAACACAGCTTTGAAGGAGACAGCTGCTGAGGGACATACAAGGAGGGAAGGGTAAAGATTTTCCTCACCAGTCATTGCTACTGAGCCACTTGAGTGCATCCATCATCCCCTGCTCTGGGAGAGAGAAGGGTCTCATTTCGGACATATCCCCACTTTCAGATTCCTCCTCCCACTCTGAAGAACCCAGAATATTTGCTGGCAGAGAGTTAGCTGTAAGTACAAAATCAAACACGCTGACATAAATATGGCGGTGCTGGTCCCCATTCTATAGCAAAGGTTTCAGCCAAGGTTCCTGAAGGAATCTGATTTTAACTCTGCCCCCTCTAATGGTTAATTCCAGTTGCTTTTTGTCTGTGTCAGATATCAGCAATCTCATTTTCATGAGTTTCAGAAGTTTCACATCACAAATGTTTACGCAACATGAACTCAAGAAAAGAGAAAAAAACATCCTCAACTCTTGTAAACTGGGGCAGCTTCACTGGCTCCAGTGGAAGATCTGGCTCATAGTTTTCCCAACATTCAAACTCTTACCACTTGAGTAGAAAGTCTGCAAATTCACACAGGAATTCATTTTACCTTGGCACTGGGAACGTAGGAATTCGTGTTTTTCATAGTTTTATGAGTCTTGTAAAGATTTTTGTTCTGGAGAGCTGTACATTAAGTGCATGTCAAGAGTGCCGGGATAGAATATATTCATCATCAAATAGGGTTGTTTATAAGCTGTGCAAAAGCTTAGCTTTCTTCTGCAGATAATTTAAAATGTCTAACCCTTATGGTAGTGAAGGTAAGAAGATGAAGTAATGGCAAATGCAAATATACTAGACAACAAATTTGCTAGGGAACCTATTTACCATCAGGAGTGTTAGAGGTAAAAAAAATCCACACCTAAAGATCTAGATGCAAGAAATTTTTGTCTTCTAAACTGTAGATAAAGCTCTGTGTCTTCTAGATGGGCTGATTATAACTATCATATAAAACTTCAAGGAATAGTGGACATATAATTATGTACTGTCCAGATGGCACGGAAGAAATCTAATACCAAAATTTAAGGATGAGATTTTCAAAGGTGGTCAATCTGACCATTTTTGTAAATCTCATCCTAAATAGAAAGGGAAAAGAATCTTTGATGGGATATGGATACAGACCTAGCCAAACCCTTCTTATCTTGCAATAGTTTATGAAATCCCATCATAAGATCTTCAAACAGAACAGATGCTTTCAGAACAAGAGGGACCAGAGTCACTAGCTATTTCCCTTTGTCCTTTGTTAATTTACTGCAGAGGACAAACAGTTTGAATATCCCCATGCAGCTTTCCACATCTGTCATTGTATTAGGCTATAGGCTGTGAGCATAGCCCGTGTCCACTTCATGTGTCCCAGATCTGACCCCAAAGGCTGGATGTCTATAACCACCTCTAGCTGTGATAGCATTATTGTATAATGCCATACCTGCAAACAACTTATTTCTGCTGTTCTATACAGGAAGACAATAAGGATAATCATTGAAAAGTCATGCAATGACACAGGGACCTTCTAGGGAGAGGAGGAGGTAACTTAGATCACTTATGTAAATAAGGGAATCCAGATTGGCTGCATCGGAGCTCATGTAACTTTACAAGATATGCACACATAAAAGCTTTTCTGAACATGCAAATAACATCCTAAAAGAGAAATGAAGTTGCAACAGCAGCAGCAAAAGAAAAATTAGACATTCAAAATGAATGAAGCACCCAAACCTGGAGTTCTACTAACTCCTTATTCAGGCAAACTTTCCCTGGGCTATATGAAGGCTCATTTCAGTGTCACTCAGCCTGGAACAACTCCTCTATGCTTACTATGAATTTATACTAGTGCAAATAAGAGCAGAATTTGAACCAGGGCTCACTGGCATCCATGGACCAAGGCACCCTGGACTTGTGCTCAGAGCTGCATCTTGTCTATCCCGTTCCCCACAGACCAAGCAAATCTCACCTGAAGAGTGGCGCAGGAAGCTGCTCTCATGATTGATGATGGGGATGCTTGGCAAAGATGGCCTGTTGACTCTTTTCTTTAAGGCAACACCAAAGCTGGCTTTGCATGGGTTGCTCATGCTGGGTGAAATGGAGATGAGCCCATTGGTATTAAGTGGGCCAAAGCCTGTGGAAACTGAAAGAGCCAAAGGGGAGTAGTCATTTTTTCCAGTGATGGACTGGATAGCTCAAAGCATAGGCACTGAGAATGCAGGAGCCTGAAGGCCTGGTCCCCCTTGGGAAGAGGGCCATCACCTGAAATGCTTAAAAATTTCCAAGTCTATCATCTTAGCGCCCTCCCCCACCCCCAGCAAAAATAAGAGTTGGTGCCTGTGGCTAAGGGGTTGATACTGGGCCAAGGCAGGGGGGTGGGGGTTGTCCTTTACAGAAAAGTACCACAGTACTGTCCATAAGAATCCAGACATAGAGGCAACACTATCATAAGCTGTAGTGCCAGGCATCATAATATAGCAGTACTTTCTATAAAGGAAACTTAGCATCCCACTTCCTCTGTTCTAGCCACTGTTGAGATGAGCGGAGGATTTATGCCTCCAGGGGCTGTCAATCCAGCACTAAATTCACTTCACCAACTCACAGCAATAAAAAGTAGAGGTAACCTTGTAGAATACCCTTGGGCTGAGTGCTGACTTGCAGCTTTCCCTGCTGCTGCACTCCTTGGAGTTTGTGCCGCAGTACAATCAACGCTCGTCAGTTGCAATTAAGTCAGAGCCTGTAAGTTGTGCTCTAGTGTATATTTTATTTATATATATTTAATATCGAAAATATATTTTAGATATATATTTTATACACATACACACACATACTTTACTCTCCTGTATATGTATATGCAACACATGAACTATTCAGACTTTCCAAAAACATATGCTTCTTGGGGGTGTTTCTGAAGGCAGGGTGATTTGTCTTCCTGTGTGAGCAAGATCTTTCTTCATATTTTAATTAGAAACATTTTTATTTAAATTCATCCAGGTTATAACTTAGTTATAAACTTTCTTTTGGACTCATTGGCTTTTCTTTGTCACAGCAGGCTCTGCTGCAACACGAAAGACATGCTGTAAAAGCCCAAGTCTGATCTGCATGGCAAAATGAATCACTGGATAAAGCCTGTGCTGGGGAACATGAGGTGTGGGCTCTGGTTCTGGCTCAACCAGTGACTCCCTGGGTGGCTTTGGGTGAGCCACTCTGTGACTGAGTTTCACCATCTGCAAAGTGGGAATAATTACTTTCCAGATTCGTTTGTGAACTGGTTTGAGATCTTGCATGAAAAGCACTATAGAACTGTTAAATCTTATTATCATCAGCAGCCATATTATTAAAGAGGAAGGCTACTCCCATGGCTAGGTACTGACCAACCTCCAGAGCTGTTAATCCAGCACTAAATTCACTCCAACTCAGAGCAATAAAAAGCAGAGGTGACCTTGTAGAATATCCTGCACTGCCACAGACTTCCTGTCTAACTGTAAGCAAGTCACTTGGAGTCAGATCCAAGTGTCCTAGGCCTGGCACTACTTTCTTGCTCTGTCACTTGCTCACTTGCTCTCTTACTGTCAAGGAAAGGACTCTTGCGTTCCTTTTTGCACACTGGTCTAGCTGCAACTTGGGGTGGAAACTGACAGGTGCTGTGTGGGCCTATTCCAGCCTTGCCCATTGCCTGTTTTTTTGGGAATTCTCCTGGGCTGTGGCAGGCAGTTGTGATTCAAGCTCATACAATCCCATATACAATCTAGCAGGCTAAAGAGAGCTTGTAACCCAGGTCTCCCACTTTCTGGGCAAGCACTCTAAGCACTGGACTATTACATTAATAGAACCTCCTCTTCCTGCGTGTTTCTCATGAAAGTGGCTGTGCCTTATGTTGAATACAGTACTTTTGAGGAGTGTCAGCATGGTCAGAGGGCACCTATTGGAGTGGCATCCTTAAGGGACTTCAGCCCAAGAAGTGCATAGTTTACCTATCCCAGGTGGCCCTAAGCAAAAGAAAGGTGTACCAACCATTCAAATCATACATTAGGGCAACAGTTATGGCCAATTCCAATATCAGAACCTAAAGTACTTAAGTATTTTGGGGCCTGCAGCACATGACTTCTGAGGAGAGGCTGCAGGACCTGGGATTATTTAGTCTGCAGAAGAGAAGGCTGAGGGGGGATTTGATAGCAGCCTTCAACTCCCTGAACGGTGGTTCCAAAGAGGATGGAGCTTGACTGTTTTCAGTGCTGACGGATGACAGAACAGAGAGTAATAGTCTCAAGTTGCAGCAATGGAGGTTTAGGTTGGATATTAGGAAAAACTCTCACTAGCAGGGTGGTGAAGCACTGGAATGGATTACCTAGAGAGGTGGTGGAATCTCCATCCTTGGAGGTTTTTATGGCCCAATTTGACAAAGCCCTGGCTGGGATGATCTAGTTTGGGTTGGTCCTGCTTTGAGCAGGGGGTTGGACAAGATGACCTCCTGAGGTCCCTTCCAACCCTCATTTTCTATGATTCTGTGATTCAAAGTAAGATTTCCTGACAAAGCGTTGTGTCTGTAGTTAGCCTGGGTTTTTGCTTATCACATTTCAAATGCCTATGTGCTTTTTTAGATTTTGCCTTTACCCTTTTCTTCCCATTCCCCATTTGTTAGATAGGGAAAATAGACTTGCTCTATCCTACTGGGGTTTTGAGAAGAAAAATCCATTATGGAGCATGCTGCACTCAAGAACTACAGTAATAGGGACCTTTATCAGCACCTTAAACTATGCTATCTGGGATAGCTGAGACCCATGATCAGCCACCCTTGGGTGAAAGTCTCTTTCTATGGATTTCTCAGACTGACTGCATACTGAAAGGAGCTCCTTCCAAGCACACCAGAAGAAGAGAAATGTAGTAGTCCCTACCCGGAGATTTGAACTGGGGTTAGATAATCTATGGACAATGCCTGTGGCAATGATGATTGCTTCTCCAAAGAGATCTTCCTGACCTACAACTCTGATTATAAGAATGGAATATAGTGACCCTAAACCATAGGCACTCACACGGTGTATTTGAGGTACAACATGCTCCCAGCCTATGTGACAGAATTTTGCACTCTACACAGGTGCCGATGACTACATATGGTACAGGCCAGAGGCATGTAGCAGCCACTTACCTTCCTGAGCAATACCCCCGGGGTCCACACTCTGAAGTTGTTCCCGGAGCTGCAGGGACCTTTCCTTTTCCCTCTCTCGACGCAAAAGCTCCATCTCTTTCATTTGCTTCTGACGCAATTTCTCCTGAGCCGACTTGGAGATGGTGACATGGATCTGGACAGAGTGGGAATATATCATCATCGTTTCATAGATGTTAGGGGCTGGAAGGGACCTTACAAATCATCGGGTCCAGCCCCCCTGCACTTGGGCAGGAAAGACTGCTGGGGTCAGATGACTCCAGCAAGATAGGCGTCAAGATGCAGAGGGACATAAACACTCAGCACTTCACACTGTCCCAGCAGCAGGAATGCTGTGGTGCAATACCAACAAAATTAGTTATGGTTCAGCCTACATCTGAGTACTTTTAGGCATAATGGGTGCATACAGAAGTGCAGCTTCCAGGTCTAACTCGTGGCGATTCATAGAAATTGCCATGAGTTAGACTGATCCTTCTGACCCAACAGACATTAGCTATTGGATCAGAAGGGTGGAGGATTGGCTCCAATTTGGAGTGGATCCAGGGAGAGAGGCTATGTCTTCTCCTGGCTCTTTCCTTGGCTCTGGCTCCACTCTTGCAGCTTTGCTGCCATCTCTGAAGGAGAGGGGGGAAAGGCAGGGGCCAGTGGTTGTTTTGGGGCTCTCAGCCCCACTGGAGTGGGGTAGACTGGAGCCCACTCAAGGTGAGGGGCTCCAAGTCACCCACCTCCCCACTCCAGAAGGGCTGAGAAAATCCCAGAAGGGACCTTCCTCCCCTGCCTTTTCCTCCTCCCATCCAGAGACAGCAGCTCAGGCCAGGCTGCTGTTGCAACCAGAACAGGCAAATTAATGAACCATCTTCATTTGAACTCTCATACAATAAGCACTAATTTGTCAAGTGATCAGGGGGCTTTGCAGTCATGCTTTTCTGCTTTGGCACAGCATTAGAGTACTTTCAAGGGGCTGTTTGCATGACAAATGTCATTTCCGTCTGCACCCAACTTCTCCCACATACAATTAAACTAAAAAAAAGGAGGTCTGGTCAAATTTAGAGGCATTCATTTACACCTCTGGAGGTCTAAGTGGCTGGAAAGTGAATAGATGAATTATACCTTGAAACAAGAAATGCAGCCAGCAAAAAGGTGCATGGAAAAGCAAGCTCCCTTATATTATTTTTAACCCTTTTAATTATTTCCCCTCAGTGTTGCCAGATTTGAAAAATGGAAATATCATGCTGGAAACTCACCATGATTGTACTTAATGAAACATTATCAGATGTTGCCAAAATGAAAGATGATGCAGATGTAAGTGCTTTTCTTCACCCCTAATATGTGATCTATAAATAATAGCAAATATTTTGATCCTTTCACTCACTGCCACCCCTTAGAATTTTAGTATCTCAGTTGGATTCTGTCATGTTTGCTCCCCTGTGCTGCTGTGCACAGGACTTTAAGAGCTCAGGCACAAGCTCTCCACGTACATGAAAGACCGTACACATGGAACAAAATGCAAAGGCAATTTAAGGCCTTCTGAAGGCAGAAAACTGACCACATGCGAATATTTTCTTCTAAATGCAAGTGTGCTTTGGATTGCCCTGAACATACATGCTTTGTGCAATGTTAGGTGTGAGAAAGGACTCTTTCGGTATAAATTAATTGCCATTAGCCAAACAATGATCTCTGCATCTCCTTTTTCAGTAAGAGCACACAGGCAATGTATGACTCCTCAACTGAGTTCCTTTGGGGCTGGAATCTCTGCAGAGGATGTTTAGCATTTTCACAGCTATTTATCATTTATATTTATCTAGTGCCTGTGATCCCTAATATGCTAGGTGTGTATAATCAAAGAACCAAAAGGCCATTCCCATATCATAGAAATGAACACATACCCTTCCATTACTCTCCTTCCAGTTGTCATCCTTCAAAAGCTTGGGACCCAGCAGGTGACCTGTCTCCTTGCCCTGGCTGAGGGAGAGTGTTGTCAAAGGCAGCAAAGGTTCTGGTGCATACCCAGTAGGCTTCATGCCCACGATCAAGCCATTCTTGGGAGCAGCTAAAATGGGTGCCGAACTTCTGAATTCTGAGGAATCAAGAACATATACAGATCTCAATGGGGAGATTTATACACTAGCATCCCCAGGCTGCTCAGATAGTGGTTTAGTTCTTCTCCTTTAAAAGCGGAATGTCTTTTCAAGTCCTTGAAATACAAATCTAGCAAACAAAGTACAGGGCCCAGTCCTCAGCGCCTAGCAAGCAGCTATTTGCTATAAAAGGGTGCCAAGGGAAATTTTCACTCCAAAAGAACAAACATTTTCCTCTATCCTCCCATCTCTTCAGACCTTAGCAAGGCATCTTTCTTTTCTCAGTTGATAATGGTCTGTGTTTATCTGACCCTCTTACCTTCTGACAACCATAACTTTAGGTACAGATGCAAAAAAAAAAAAAAATAAAAAATAAAAAAAAAAATCGAGGTTCCCTCCTCTTTAGAGGAAAATGAAAGGGCTTTTTAACAGAAAAGTTTTGGGCTGCTGAAATACAAACATATAAAGAGCAGTGTCCGGAAAGCCACAATCAACTTCCCCTTAGTGAATTCATTATCAAAATTAACAGTTCTGCCCCTGAAATTAGCACCTCTCTCAACCAGCTGCCCTGAGGGATGAGTGAGAAAGTGTCCTGTTAATGTGCTATAGCACAAGGCATCTTATTCTCATTTACTCTCCATCTTAGCTGCTGAGTTCAGAGAACCAGTCATTCCATACACTACTTCACAGATGATAGTTAACATCATGGGATAAATCAACCACAAAAAAAGGAATCAGGAATTGATTTCATTAAATGAAATCAACAACAAAAACAAAGATGGGCTGACCTTGCAGTTCATTGCTACCCTGAAAAGTATACCTATACAAAAATGTCAGCTTCTTACTCAGCAAATAGCTCCCTTGTTTTATTTAAAGTCATATTTGCATATTGCCATCAAAAAGAGTGGTCACTACCATTTATTACCCTTGCAGAGCTCATACAGCTGTGGAAGAATAAGCTGGATTCTAGTCCTTATGGCACACCAACACAAGTGTTCTAAACACATAGAAAGCAATCTAACGAGGCTTGCACAGAAGTATCTAACACACTCATTAAACTTACAGAGCTGCTCTTTCTAATGAAGATGCATGAGAGAAGAATAATGCAGTCTGCCTTTCAGACCCCAGGTTGAGTTTAAAGGTCTGGACATTAAGGGGGGGAACAGATTTTTAATAGCAATTTAAGCACCTGTGATCAGCAAGGCAGACATGAAACCCACTCAATGTTAGTTTTCCCATATTCAATGTTTAGAGTAAGACCTCATGTCAGATGGTTGACATATTCAGGTCAGATAAGTAGTGCATAATTTGGATCTTTCTCTATGTCCCCTGGGGCCATAAAGCTGAGCTGAAAAAATCGCAAGGAGAACCTGTCTCCTGGGGTTTCTGCCTCATCAGTGCACAAACAAGCAAAGCTCATCTGGCTGTTTTACAGCTTGACAAAAGGCTCCATTTGGGGTTCATCCCAATTCTAAGCAAGGATTCTGGGGAGGCAGAAAGGGCAAGCAGAGGCATTTCTTATTTGGTCTGACACAGTTTCTCTCTTTCTCTAGCCTTCCATGGTGCTAGAAGCCATACGAAGAGATACACATTGGATGGTGTAGTTGAGAGTCGATGGGATGATTTCGACTTTGCTTATGAGCTTTGGGGGGGTGAATGACTCAAGCTCTGCCACTGAACACAGGAAGTTAAGCCCCATTCACAGTGGGCAAAGCCACACCACTGCCTCCAGAGCAGCTGGACAACTTTTCTAAAGTTTCTCCCTCTACTAATGAAGAATTACAGAATGTTTTTGGTTTTTTCCCCCCACAATCAGGCCTTTGCCTGTCCCACATGAACTGGGATCCTGATGTTTGTTCTGAGATAAAATAACCACATGTTTGTTTGGGGTTTTTTACATACCCAGAGATTTAAGAGTCTTTTCCTCAGCGCTGCTGTCTGGCCCAGACCTTTAAACAAGCAAGTAGAAAAAAAAATACACAAGTAAATAGAGGAATACAGACCAGTTGAATGAAAGTGGGTTTTCTTACCTGAGCCACCACGACCTAGCAGGAAGTTTAACTCATAGACCTCACATTCTGTTGGCAACTGCTTTATAAAAACCATTACTTCCCTCTGTTGGTAAATTTACATTAGAGGCAAACCCTGTTCTGACTGAAACCACTGGATCAGATCCTTAGGTTCAGGCTTTCTGTACCCAGTTTAGTTCAGGAAGGAGAGGCATCAAAGCAGGTCACCAGCCATTAGGCAGGTCCAAAGGCTCAAATAAGTGAAGCTACATTTAAACTGGTGTGACAGAGGAGAATCAAGCTTTATCTGTTCAGGAGTGAAATCAGATTATATTCTTCTCAAAATAAAATCATTCTTCACATCAATTTGTGGATACGAACCTAGCAAGGATAGTCAGGTGAGTATTGTAATGAAGTATATACATTGCAGCTCCAACCATTTTTTATTTATTGTTACATCAAGAATACAACTGACAACTAGATTTCCCTAAGTACAGAAGCCAGACATATAAATGGATATCATCCTATCTATTGTGCATATTAATGTTTTAAATTATTCTCTACCACCCTGCACCTGAGATCTCTGAGCATGATAAAAATATTAACAAACAGAGCCTCCCAACTTCACTGATTAACTGTGCAGTGAGATGTACGCAAGTATTGGAGCTCTCATTTTACGATGGGGAGACCAAGGCCCAGAAGTATCAAAGCCTACCTCTACAGAAGAGGCTTCTGCCTTTGACAGTTAGATATCCAACTGCTGATATATGCCCTGCAAATTATTGTAGGTACAGATGTCTCCAAACCAAAAAGTGCCTCAGAGTTGGAGAACAGACTCAGGTCCGCGTGAAGCTTGGTTCACAAATGTCTGGCCCAAGATTACAAAGTGAATTACTGGCAAAAGCAGTAGAACCCAGAAGTCCTGGCTCCTACTCCTAATGTCTAACCACCATACCATGCTTCTGTATATATGGCATAACTTTTTCATGATAGATGTACAGTGCGCGCAGCATGTATATTTTGGGAAGCTAGCTGTGAAAATAAAAATATCTTTAAATAAGATCTGCATGGAAGAAGTTATAATGAACAGGAAGAAGATCCTAGGCAGAGTTTTACCTTATCTCAGGGGAGTCTTCTGCAGACAGACTCACTGGATTTAGTTGCTGAGCACCTGGAAGAGGCATTGGAGTAGTGCCAAGGTCTCCATTGGATGGTCTTGCTGATTTAGGGATAGGGGGGATCAGAGCAGCTCCTAAAGACTTCTTCATCTTCTCATCATTGCACTGCAAGTACTGGAGGGAAGCATGGCAATGGAAGAGTCCAGGGCCCAAGAAATTAAAGTTCAGATTAAACCAGTACCCTTATCCATGATCTTACCAGTAACTGAATCCTACTTTGTCATTGTGCAGAGGCAAGTAAGGTTTAGGGGCAAAGGCTGCTGAGATAACGTGAGCACTGACAGGAACTCATTCTGTTGGGCTATTGAGAAGATATCCTTGCAGCAATGTATTGGAGGCAGGGTGGCTAAGGCATGAGCAGGCCAAAATGCACCTCACTGCAACAGAAAGTGCACCTTTTCTTCCACAGTGGGGAGAGAGGGAGAGAGCCCTTACTTTCCACCAAAAACTGATAGCATCCCTCTGCCCAGCATCTGGGACAGGGGAAGCAAAGGGAAAGCAGCAGAAATACCATTGTTCCACTCTGCCTCTCATCTGTCTATGCATCTTCACCTTGCACATGCCTGCAGCAGTCTCAGAGCACCCTCTGCCTGCCTTAGCACCTGCCTGCCAATTCCCTGCTTAGTTGGCAGAGTTTCTGGGGTGTTCTTGCTCTTTTAGCCTTTCTGACAGCAGTGAAATGAATTTGGCTTGCAGTCCCCTGGCTGTATCTTGAACACCTCTCAAACATCGCTGTATTCCAGCCAATTTTCTACAACTCATTTCACATTCTGTCAAAACCTGCTGCTCTAAAGTCCATAATTTTTCTATTACTGCCCTTTCCTTAGACCCTCGTCAGCATTCAGCCCAGATAATAATGGGATCTTGGGTCTCTAGTTGCTCTCCACCTCCCATCTAATTTATCATATCTGGCTCATTGTCAGTTATTAACTCCAAAGCAGCCTCTTGCTTTGCTGTTGGTACAATGTGCTATGTAAGCAAACCCTCCTGGGCCTATCTGTCGACCTAACAGAACTATTTTATTTGGGCTGGACCCCCTTTTGGATCATCTGTATCTTGGCAAGGACTGATAGGGAGGAAGGGACTGGAGAGGCAGATATACATGCTGTGGTTTTCCCATCAGTCTCTTCATGGTTAATGGCACTCCAAAAAACCCAATCAAGGTACTCCAGGGATGGCTTTGTCCCTATACCTAGATACCTGCGATCCCGTCTGCTGGCCTTCGATAGATTTCTGTCATTTGCCAAAATGTTTCCTAATCACCCTTCTTCCCTCATCTCACAAGGCAGAACCAAAATTTCTGCAACTCCTGTCAGCCCTGCAGGACCACAGTTGAGAGATGTTACAGATGGAGCCATCCACTTGGTTCCAGTCAGTTGCCCTGGTGGCAGCCCACTGAAGGGAACATAGCTGTACTAAGGCCACAGAGAACCTAATTTGAACTCTAGGCACTTTATCATAGGTGATGATGCTCACGATAGAAATAACTCATCTGAACATGTAGATTCCAAGTTGAGCCTGCAGGGACAGTCCCCACGGCAAACACCTTCTTGCATCAAAATTGCATCACTGTGAAATAAAAGTCATTTGGCTTGCAGTCCATCTCTGCTGGATCTTTTGCACTTTTAAAACAAGGACCCCCCATGTGGCACACATTTATTAACAGGGTAGGCATATGCAAAGAGCTGTACTGACCATCTAATTGGTTGTTCCTCAGCAAACACCCTGAGGACCACTAGTGAGTTCACATGTTAGTTAAAGGTACATTACCCTTTGCAAATGCAATACAGAGGCTAAGATTTTAGTAACTAAATTATGCCATTCTTGGACTTCTACCAGGATCCTGAACTTTTAACAAATTATATGAATATTTTAGATCTCTTGCCTGGTATGTAATAAAGCACAAAAGAAATCCAGTCTGGTATGGTTTAGTTTTCTTCTGCATATTTACCTCCTGGGAAGCTGGCAGCAGCTCAGCACAACTGTTGCTACTGCTCCAGCTGCTTGTGCCATTCTCTAAGTTTTTTTGCTCCTTTTCATTTGGTCCATTGGCCTCTGGGGAGGTTGGGATACTCTGAATGGGAGGCATGGGCTTGGAAGTTATCAGCAGCCGTTGGGAAGCGGATCTGGAAACAGCTGGCTTCAGGGCAACCCCCTTAGGGTCACTGGAGTCGGACAAACCTGCAAAGCAGACATATATTTCATAGATTTTTAGGGTCAGAAGGGACCTCAGTAAGATCATTGAATCCAACTCCCTGCCCTGAGCAGGAAAGAGCGCAGGTGTTTGTCCAGTCTCCTCTTAAAGTCCTCCAGGGTAGGGGAAAGCACCACCTACCTTAGAAGTCCAATGCAGATTCTGGCAACCCTTACCATGAAGTTCTTTCTGATGTCCAATCTAAATCTGCTTCCTGTCAGTTTGTGACCGTTTCTAGTCACACACCCCCCAGGGGCGCCCTGGTAAACAGACCATCTCCTAATTCCTTGCTGCCCCCTGCGATGAATTTGTAGATGGCCACAAGATCACCTCTCAGCCTTCTCTTGGGGAGGCTGAAGAGATCCAGGCCCCTCAATCTCTCCCCATAGGGCCTTACCTGCAGGCCCCTAACC